GGTATAGAAACAAGCTCGCCGGGAGGAACCCCTCCCAAACGAAGCTAGTATATGTACCAGCTTGTCGGAAGAGAATCCTTCCGACGAGCTGGTATAAAACCATCGCATCTGATTCTTTCCCTGATATAATTTTAGTAACAAGTGTAAATTCAGTCATGATCTGAACGTCGACCGAAAGACGACGAAGAAAGATCTTTATACCGATGGGCGAGATACCAAAGAAACAGGTCAATACGCCAGTCATCCAGCTTCTGAGCGTTTTTCGACTCGCTACTAACCTGGTGTTTTTGTATCATAGATACCATGGATACATGGGATGATGCCAAACTCCAAAGTGTCGTCATTTCCAAACACGCCAATTCAAAAACTACCACCGAGAGTAAGTAGCTCATGTTCCGGAATTTCCTTGATATCAATCATCTTCTGACAGTTTTGGTCCGTTCTTTCGCTAGTTGTATGTAAAAACTTTATAGAAGCTATCGAGTCGGGGAAATATGGATGGTTTTGGGTGAGTAAAATTCAAGATAGAAACTGAATTGCATAAACAAAAAAAAAATAAAAGAAAAGAAGTCGATGAACCAGATTCAGACTGACTGAATCTTGCCGGATAGGAATGCCCATCAGGAGGTGTGAACTGCAAGTACCGACACGCTCTACCTCCAGGCTTTGTTCTGAAAGCGCAGAAGAAGAAAGACGCCGAGGAGGCGAAGAAGAACAAGCTCAGTCTGGAGGACTTCCTGGAACGGGAGCGTCATCAGTTGGGCAAGACTCTGACCCCGGTGACCAAAGAATCGTTTGCCAAATGGAAGGCCAAGCGTCTGTCGAAGAAAAAAGTCGAAGAGGATGGCAAACGCAAGTTGAAAGAACAGCAAGCTGCGGCTGGAAGGATGAATGGGATGAGTGGAAGAGACTTGTTCATGTCAGTCTCAGCCCTTTCACTCTTATTCTCTTTTCTACTAAATTCGATCTCCAACCCGACCAGAGAAAGTGTACATACGCTTGCCGGGAGGGGTTCCTCCCGGCGGTGTGACCTCGGCCTCTTTAGGCCGAGGGGATTTGAAAAAAAAAAAAAAAATGAAATGAAATGAAAAAAAAAAAAAAAACAAAGAGGCCGTCCCATAGGACCCAGAGTGTAGACCGGCGTGCAGGCCTGCACGCCAAATTTCTTTGGCGTGCACGCGTGCACGCCAATCCGCACCTGGCGTGTGGTTTGGCGTGCGCCAGGGGGGCTGGCGTGCGTTTATCAACGCCCCCATTGAGCATGAGCTATGATTTGAGTGCTATGCAGAAGGAGGACTTACCTGTCACATTTGAAAGTGATACTCTTCCCGGGAACAGTCCTCTTCCTGACAATGACAAACACATTTTCTTGAGCAAAGGTTTTACTTTTGATGGAGTGCTCGATGATCAATGGGTCAGAATAAGTGGCCGCAGGAGGAGCGGGTATGTCGGTATGTGGTGCTTGCGCTGGTTTTGGGGGGATGGTTGGGGTCTTTGTTGTTGTATTTGTCTTATCTTCCAGATCTGACTCAGGCTCGTCCTCCTCAGCGTTGTCGCCAGTGTTCTTGTCGGCTTGACTTACAAGTAGCTATAAGCATTTTTTGATGGTTACCGTTTCGTCATCTTCAGCGGCTTCTGTGTGATTGTCATCAGATTCTTGTTCATCTTCAGTTGTGATGGGGCTGACTGGTGCTGTTGCCTTGGTTTTGACAGGGGGGGGTGGTTGGTTTTCAGGGGGTCCGGTGACGGGGCGGATTGTTTCCTTGGGTTTGACGCCGGTGGGGGCAATGGTGGGGGGGGGGGGGGGTCCCGAAAAAAATTGGGTTTTGGAATTGGCACCCGGGACGACGGCTCCTACGGGGGCAAGAGGCTTGGATCAAGCTCGGCCGGGTTGGGGGGGTTGACAACTGCGGTCCAGGATGTGACGACCCCCGCAGTTGGCCCGACAACTGCCGTTTTTTGCGCGACGACTCCTGGGGCCAAGGTGAGTCCGGTGGCGGGGGCGGCGGCGATGACTCCGTTCCGTGGGCTAGCAACTCCCGCCCCTGCGGCGACGACGGCCGTCCCCGGTGTGATGACTCCCGTCTCTCGGGCAGCGACTCCCTCTCCGGCGTGGACGACTCCCATCCCGGCGGTCCCCAGTGTGACGACTCCCGTATCTCGTGCAGCAACTCGCTCTCCGGCGCGGGCGACTCCCGTTGCCCCAGCGGCGACTTCCGCAACGACTTCCGTGGCTCCTGCGGGGATTCCGACCCCGATGACGACCGGCTGTTCCGGCTGGTGCCCATCGGCATTTCTGGCCCGTCGGCGGTGACTTTCGGCGGCTCTGGCCCGTCGGCGGTGACCTTCCGCGGCTCTGGTCCGTCGGCGGTGACCTTCGGCGGCTCTGGTCCGTTGGCTGTGGCCTGTTAGAGGTGTCCTCGGCGGTCACCTTCGGCGGGGTCCTTCGACAACTGGGCGGCAGCCTCGGCGGCGTCAATTGAGGGCTGGATTGGGTTGTTGATTGCTTGGGTGGTTGGTTGGTTTCGGTAGTTGGTTGGGTGGTTGGGTGGTTGGTTGGGTGGTTGGGTAGTTGGTTGGGTGGGTGGGGGAGTGGATATTGGAGGAGGGGAGGATATGGGTGTGGAGCGGCGACTCCTGCGTGGGAGAAGAAACAAGGTTTCTTCTCCCCAGCCGACTCCTAGGGATTTGCCAACAACTCCTGCGAGACAAAAAAAAGACCAGTGGACGATTGGGCCATCGACTCCCTTTCCGTCTGGGGAAATTGGCCTGACGACTCCCGAGGAAAAAAAAAATATATCAAAAAAATTAAGGATCAAATTTGGGAGGCCGACTCCCGCCCTTTAGGCGGACGACTCCCGAATTTTCAATAAAAAAAAATAAAAAATCGCCTGTGAAATTAGGCTGCCGACTCCCGGGAGTTGGAAGAACAACTCCCGTCCAACGACCTCCCGACCAAAACGGGAGTCGTCGACTAAAATTTGGGAGTCATTTTTCCAAGCCCCTATTTAATTGCCTGGTTTCAAAAAATCCACCATTTTTTAAACATGATGGTTTTTTACCTACCCCCTTTGGGGACCCATTGCTGTAAAATTTTAGTTTTGAAAATGTGACTGGTTTCTAATGGTGGATCTTCTATATTTGATACCCAAATCATTCTTTGGAATATTTAAACAACTTAGCCAAATCTTTGTGGGTTGAGGTTTCATGATCTCATGATCCAACAATGTAACAGGCTCTAAATAACCATCTGGTAGGTCACTGTACTCATTTATTTTACAATATCTTCAAGTGTGAGTAAATATGCCTAAACGTGCATGTAAACAAATGGAGACAAGTGTGTGCCATGAGGGAAGATCAGTTGGATAATAATTTACAAAAGATGATAAGAAACAATAATTAATACAACTTGAAAAATGTTGATGGAAAGTTAATTGGGCGAAGTCCTTCTCAGGAGTTTAGATACCGAATTGACAGGTGCTATTCCATTCTTAGGGAGAGAAGAAAATAAGCTTCTCCTTCTGAATGGGAGAGGATATGACTTCCTCCTGACACTCTGCGAGTCAGCCAATGGGTCGCATCCAGATGGACAGCAATCAATGGGACTCGGATTAAAGTCGGATTGAGTGGGCGGTGGATCCGTCGTTGAAAACAATTTTGATAATCTCTTCACGGCTGGACCATTGGACTGATTCAAGGACGCAATCAAACCGGGCTGAAAGGTGCTTGTCTTGCCCAGAAGGCCGCTGGGTTCAGCCGCCAATGTCGATGGTTCCGTGTCTAAATTTGGCTCTACATCCTCAGCCTCCGTAGTGCTCACCGTCCCCGTTCTGTTGGTCGACCGACCCCTTCGAGTGAATTTTCTTTTGATCATACTGTCTCGGTGTGCCACCCTCATCCGAGGATCTTCCCCGCCACTATTGCTAGTCGCACCTGTCATCTCAGACTTGGGACTCTCGGCTGATTTCGATCGTCTGGTCTTTTTAGGTCGAGTCCTTTCGATCCGGTGTATAGTCCTTTCGAGAGCGAAATCCAAATGCTGATAACTAATTTAGGGGAAATTAAAAAAGAAACTCTTTGAGCAAGGGCTACGTAGATCAACTGTCCTTGACTAGCTATGCAATCTTTTTAACCTCTTACATGAATTGTACGGCTCGACTTGGTCCATCTTCAGCTTGAATTTGCTCCTTGATCTGTTCTGCCTTTTCCTTGATGATTCGATCCGAAGTCGCCTTGTTGAACGCTTCACACAATGTGTTAACGGATAGAGAATCGATTTTCAGACCAGCTCCGAGTCGTGCAACTCGCTGTGTTGAGTAGACAAAGTTGTTATATGTTATTGGAAGACCCGGGTGCATATACTAGTCTTGAATCTTTGAACTCACATCAGCCCAAAATGTTTGGTCTAAAGTCAAAGGGTTGCATGCATTATCAGCCTCAATGGTTCGATGAATAAATTGTAAGGCGAGGAAAAAATATATACAAGATACGCACCTCCGAAGAATGGATGGATGATGGTTGGAATTCCAAATTTCAGCGATATACCGGTCGTTCCAGCACCGCCGTGATGGCAAACGGCGTCCACCTGAGGAAATAACCAATCGTGAGGAACGGATTGTAGCACATAAACCTCTTGTGGGGGTGGGACATCTTGCTCGGTTGATTTAGCCTCAACGCGATCGCTCCATCCTTTGGCAACTATGGCTCTCACGCCGGCTTGCACAACCGCCGCGTATATAGATCTGGTGACCGTTGTCGAATCAGGTACGGTTACGCTACCAAAGCCAATATAAATCAACGGCACTTTGTCCTCCTTGGCAGAAGCGATGAACTTCAAAAGCGATTCCGGCGGCTGGAAATTTCCGTGCGATTGATCGAGGAACCAGTACCCAGTGACTGTGAAAATTGGTCAGTTTGGCAGTTACCTGTCTTGCCGAGACGCGGAGAGCGATTGACCTATTCACCTTCTATGTGGTCTCTCCAATCCAGCGGCTTGGGAACAACTGCACACTCATGGACATAAACAAAGGCAGCTTCAGTAAGAGATATGATAAACTTCACAATTCATTTGATTGGTGACCGAAATGAGTATTCACCAGCCGAGCTGAAGTTGTACATAAAGGGAACCTAGAGCATCCAGATTATGAGGTTATGGTCAGCCAAAACATCCCTTGGAGGAACGCATTAGTTTTGCAATCACCCACTTTATAACTTTGCATTTGCTTTTGATGTTCAGTAAGCTAATCAGTTTCTTATTCAAAATTGATGAGGGCAATGATGAACATACTTCTAAAGAGGTAGGAGGTATCCCTAAAGTTTCTTTACGCCATCTGTTGACCTGCCCAGACATTGCGCGCCTGGTTTTGTTATTCAATGTTAGCCTAGCCCCATTTGGAGTAAATACCACAAACATACCAAATCAAACTATCGAAGAGGGAATAAGAGAGCAAGTTGTAAGATGGCCCAAGATCAATGCCGGACGCAAATGCTTGTGGGTAGGTCGTTGTACTGGTCCATGTCATCGTAAACCTGAAAAATAATGTGAAACATTCAATATCGCTGATCAATCAGCCAAATCCTTTCTGGTGTGATGTTGCTTAGCCAAACAAAATACAGCAATTGCCAAGAGGTACTCACGCTCGGAAATAGGGTATCCGTAATGCTTCGGCAATATGGATCCCAGAGAAAGTCGATGGGCTTTCGATCAGCAATTCAGCCTGAGACTCTTTGGTGGCTACCCAAGCTTCCATGAACAAATTGTTCAGCCAAGTCTTGAAATAACCCAAGCCCTCTTTGAAAAAACCGGTGCTGAAAAAGCTATGCTCAACTGAAAAGTTCTGATAAACGCATGAATTGACAGAAGTGGGCAGAAAAAATAATCAAGGGTGGTTTCAAATATCTTAGATGGTCCCGGGTTAGTAGAAATTCAACCCGGGTAAGAACACACAGTAAACTATGGTAGGCGGGAAAATGCTTGCAGATCACTTGCCATCAATGCACCAGGATCACCCCCGACGTCCTTGTACAAAATCCCGAAAGATTCGACCCAAGTACGATATTCCGGATGGGAAGCGATGGTGACTGTGTGTCCGTCTTGCATGAGTCGCTTTGCTAGGGACTACGCACAAACAAAAACTATCATGAATTATACTTCCCTCAGAGCTTATAGAATAGCTAGACATACGATATAAGGTTGAACATCACCACGACTGCCGATGGTAAGGCAGACTATTCGTAGGGGTTTGATGATTTTGTCGATCTTGGCACCACCGATGAGGACTGGCATGGTGTCTTGGCCACATCTTGGGAGAGTGAAGTTTGGCTCTGCGACTGCACCCGGCGTACGAGACGATAGAGGCTGGAAGTCTTGAAGCCGGTTGGATTCTCTGGAGGATGAGTCTTGAACCGCAGCTTTCAGGCCTTCGATCACCTCTTCCCTCGTCGATTTGGAGGTGAAATCCAGCCTGACATCCGGGGCACCCAGGGTCTCGATGGCCAAACCGAACCGGTGGAAACCAAAGGCGCTGGTCCGCTTGAGGTTCCCGACACTTTTCAGTGGTATCTTTAGTTTATAGTCCGAGCCAAGGACTGGAATTCCTCGATACCAGAAGCCTATATACAATCACGTAAGCGGATTACAGAAAAGTGAGAAGATGAGAGTGATACTCACAGAGGTAGTCTTGACTGATGGCCACATGTCCAGGGCTGGGGAGGGTACGTAGGAGTAAGCACGGGTAGACTATCATACCACAAATATATGGTGAGTCTATAGTTTTCTCCTTTGTTGAAAGCCCGGAGTAAGAATGATTGAACCCACTGGGAAGCTTTGTATTGGCTTCCAGGCCAAAGGCTTTTACAAATTTATCGGCCAGGGCGTTTTCCGAGCTATCGAAGTTTCCTACATGATCTGAGAGCTTTTCTTCATTTTCGCTATCCTCTTCATTGCTATGACTAGACGTTATTTTGAGTAGAGGGGGTGGAGTTCGGTGGCTGGCGAGGGATTCGGCCTGACTGACTTCCAATTTTGCTCGGACGATAGCATCAAGTATTAAATCATCAAAATTACCGCAACTCAGGAAGTAAGAGAGTTGAATTCGAGTGCGATCAAAGTCTTCAAGTGTGAATTTGCCTTCAATGATGTCGTTGTCAACAATGTCCCTGAAGCACGGAGCACAATCAACATCCACGCTCATGACTTGAGCTATGTTTTCGAATGTATTTCGATGGATCTTGCGAATCCGGCGCAAAGGGATCATGATCATGATCTTCTTGGAATGATATGTCTTGAAAGTGAACAGAGCAGAAACGAATCCGGCATGCCATGCACTCGTCGCTTCAGCAGTATCGAATTTCGCGTCCACAATCTCACCGGTCCTTAACCTGAGCTGCAGTATCTTGGGATGTGTTGATGAGATTGGTAACACATGTTTAATCTCAGAAAGATGTAGGGAGTGAAGTGGCCTGAAGAGCTTTGTACTCGATCTGTATAGGGTCACACAGCTGATGTAACGAAGGTAACTTTGAGTGACTCTCCTAGTGTGCACGCCAACTCCAAAAATGCTTTTTTGAGAAGAAACCGACTCACTCGGTACGTAGCTCGGCCCACATTCGCGTTGCTTTTTTAACTATCCCATCACACTGCACGGTGATTGACCCACTCTGGCAGAGATGAGTATCGACAGGAAGACTTTAGGAATCACTAAAAGATGGGACTCGAACGCAAAAGGAACGGGACAGTCTTAAACAACAAATGAATGTGATTGTACTCACACGAATGAGATCCTTGGTGTCTACCGGCGGGAGATAAGCGACATAGCAGAGTCGCCGATTGGTTAGCAATATTGACCCTTGGACCAATACGCTGCGAGTGAGAATGCCAGGAATTTGCTTGATCCAGCTTTCCGGTTCGGGTTGCCCATTGCCATCAGTTTCTGTCCAAGGACCGAAATGATCGATCACCGACTTCAAGTGTTCTTGAACTGTGACAGGAGATTGAGCGCTTTCCAACAGCTTTCCATCTTCCTGAAGTGAATTGTCAGATGAGTGAGTGGAAGACGAACTGGCGACGGGTTGTCCGGCTGAACGATTGGTAAACCGGTTGGCTGGCGATCCAGGCGAGAAGCTTAATTGGGAGGCAACGCCGGGATTGTCTTGGTGGATAAGGGTGGATGCAAACTTGTTAATAAACACCCGGCTGCCTTCGCACAGGTGGGCGTCCTTTGGCGCAAGACCATCCTCATCTGGTGAGTTGACATCGGATACTAATTCTTTAGCGGCCTGCTCGCTGATTATTTCCTCCTCGCTAGCTGAACCAGTCGAGCCGATGGAAGACGAATCTTCACTGCGAAGAGTCTGATCCAAGTTTTGAAAGCTGCTCAAAGCGGCCTGTTGTTGATTGTTTATCATAGCAGTTGAATGGAGAGGGATGTCAAAAATTCCACGCGTCAAAAAAGTCCATTAGATACGTGTTCGAAGTGTAAAGATACTTAGTTCAAGTGTTGCACTAACAGCTTTGAGCATCCCTACGAGGGACGCGGTACTACCCATCATTAATCCTCCCTGAAGGTAGGGAAATGATGGATCATTGGGTACTACTGGATCGCCCCGGTCAGGTTCCATAATTCGACTTTTCTTGGGGGATGAGACGAGCACGAGAAGGTCCCGGAATGGATTTTGACGTTGGATTGAGATAGGAGGGCTGATGGCGAGGAGGTCCAGGTGGACAGGGAAGGCTTTTATACGTCCGAGGAACTATTCCAGATACCTCGTAATACCTTCCGGTGCTGATTATCTTGATATTCCAATCGACCGGAGTAGATTCTTCACTGAGAGAGCATCCGAAGCCAAGCGTACGTATTTGGGCAAGTCTTGATCATTTTTGGGGGGATTGACACGGCTCGGAAGCATCCAGCCCGATGGTTGCCGACCGGTCGATGATGGGTTTGTAAACATTTATGTAAATACATACATCCGGCGCAAGACCAGGAAGGAGATGAATCAATAGACATTCCCAATCTTGTCAATCGGATCAACTGCAGCTCGTTCCTCGAGATCATGCTTGAGAGATCAAGAGGAGTGTTGACGTGCAAACCAGGCCGGACCTGGCCGGACGATTTCCGGGAACGATGGAAGACTTGTGTGAAGATAACTCAAATCAACAGGCATTTCGTCAACCCGGGGCGACGGCTTGTGGCGGTAGCAGCCCCGAGACTTCAACCGGCTGGATGGTAGCCGGAAGGAAAACCGGAATGCAGCAGAAAACCATGGCCATTGCCAAGCCTCACCAAGCACCGCCGAGCTATACCCTCCGGGCATCATCCGATTTTACATATTTTGTATGTAAACCCAGCTTGAATCATCGTTTTCTCGGATCACACCCGCAGGTCACCACTCTCTCCAGTAGGCGATAGGCTCAGAGCGGGAAGCCAGCAATGATTAGGCAGCATTCTGGCATTCAGCTGAGACTTACTCCAGCGCCGGTAGGAAGGCTCGAGAAGTGCATTTTCTCAATCCTCATCGAGTAGTTTCTGAGGTCTTGGTTGCAGACCCCATCTCCCCTGGTCTCAGATAACCAGCCAAGCTCATAGGGCAAAGTGTTTTCTTGCGGAGCATCCAACTCGTCAGAGCTTGGACCTTGAAAAATCAACCGAACCAGTTTGAATAAGACTCGCGCCACCAGACGCGTGGTGCTTTGTCTGAGTGGTCCACAAGAATCCACATGCACCCAATCTTTCTGTACTAGATGGAGACTTTTGACAAAGCGTTATTCGGGTTGACTAGTTTCTCGTGATAGTTGATAGTCAGACGTTCACTTAATGCCTATGTACTTCATATGATCGAGTTGGTATCTAGCACTCGCGTAGAGTATTGAGAATACCAGTTTCATTTCGTTCATTGGAGAAACTAATTTCTAGTGTTGATGGGAAACGCCGGTGCTGGTTTTGCTTCTATGAGTACCAGACACTAAAGTTAGGAATTGATACTAGCGAATTGCCCGATTGAATTGCGCAAAATGAGATTATGAGATTTCTTTGATGAAGCGTTGTTCCAACTGAGCATCAAGACCTTTGCCAATCAAAACCAATTTGGGCTGTTCATGTTCATCCATCAAAACATCAGGATGAACGGGTTGGACCTCATAGGTTTCTCTGACGGCTTGCAAAATGAACCAATTCCCATTATGATCCTTCAGTAAACCCTTTGCTCGAAGGATTCTTGGCTCCTGAATGTCTGAGTCTGGCTTGCTAGAAGATCCCTCTTCTTCTTCGCCTAGAATTCCTTCCCAAAGTAGTTTCCGAAAAGTCCGGTCAAACTTGCTATCGCTGGTGTTGACGTCTGCGAAAGCAGGTAGATTGATGGTAATCGTCGAGAAATTATCGTGAGTCGTGCGAAAGTCCGGGTCTGTTAAGTTGCCTACTTGGCGTGTCAACCTTGTCATTAGGCTCGATTCCACGTTTTCAATTTTCTTCTTTGTTGTTGTAAGTGACTGAGGCAATCCTCGATAGGTTGAAAATGAATCCAAACTGAGCACTTTGGGCAAAATCGTCTGCAAGTCATCATTTGATTGACTCAGCAGTGCCGAGTCGTTCATGCACCTTTTCGTTTTTTTGAATTTTGCTGTCAGTCCAAATGATATTGTGATTCCCAGTCGATCGGCACTTGAGATCACTCACTGGATTAAATTTTTTAACGGCTCGAGTTTTGATTCCGATACCAAATCAATCTTTGACAAGTACAACGAATCCGCGACTGCTATTTGACTGTTCAGATACCCAAGAAGCGTAAGAAATGATGAATGAGGAATTTGAAGAAATCATATTATGAAGCTTGACTTTGTCACAGTCCCGCTATTGGCGGTGGCCTCTTCTGCTAATTGCTGCGGGTTGGATGGAAAATTAAGATGCGTTAGAAAAGTGCAGGGATCGATAATGCTCCTGATCAGCGAAATTCACCTTTTCTAAGTGTACACAGTCTACTACCGTAACGATCCCATCGAGGTACAAGAGAGACTCAAGCGCTGAATCAATCCAAAATAGTAAAGCTATCTGAGATGGATCGGCGATACCTAAACGAGTTGGAAAAGAAGATGCCACCATTGGCACTTTATATATTGTTCGCGATAAAGAGGTAAAAAATCTACCTGTAGTTTCGACGATAATGTGACTGGAAATGCCACACCGCGCGTCAGTCCTAAAATTGGTCCCTCATCTTTAAGGGAATCCATTTTGTACTCAAATGTGCCTCGACGTTGCATGAGAGACTCTATAGCAAGAACTCCTTGATCTTGGGCGCTGCAACATAGGCAGCCGTTCTGGATAAGATAACAAGGCGCGTGTCGAATCAGTAACTTTTTAATCAAACAACAATCTTGTGCTGGGATTGATCATTTTGCTGGGTAAAAATGAAAACAAGAAGGAAAAGAAGGAAAAGGTTAAAAAAATACAAAGAGACATAGTCACTTGCATCTAGTTCTAGCCATTCTTGAACCTGAGTACCCTCATTAGCCACGGTCAACTGAATCGATTTCCCTAGCCTCCAAGAGATATCAAAATTTCGTTCGTTAATCATCAACAATGCAGACGAGAGATGAAAGATGCTGAAGAAGACCTTCAATGCTAGCCGTTTGAGCAAACTCGTTCATCACGATCGCAATCTTCAATTGGTTTTGGTTGGTCAACAGTCGCCGCAGAAGCGTCGATTTACCGCTCCCGAGTTGTCCAGAGAGGATTGTGACGGGTACCTTCTGGAGATCAACCATCCTGTTTCACTTTCAAAATCTGCTGGATGGAGCATTAGCAGGATTGTGGTTATACAGTCACGGATATCATGACTGACCTTGTAGGTTTTCCCTTTGTGACTCCGTTTCATCGATGGCCAATTGCAGTATGATCATGATCTGACTACCCGAAAACCCCCAGGGGGTGAAGGGGCCCTGGGACGGGGGAGCCTTCCGGACTCCGGAGTCCGGAGGCCCTTGAAAATGTAGGCTTGAATTAGGCCACGCAATCATTCAGCTGCGGCAGCTGCAATCCACGGGTCCAGGATGAGACAAAGTCCTCGGAGAGGCCCTCGCTCCGTGATCAGACACTGACCGCGACGAAGCTAGCTATCTCTAAGTCTGATCGTGAGTTCTTGCTGATCCGGTTTTTCATTCCACTCTTCTGCTACCCCGTAGGCTGATAGAGGACCCTGAATACATGACCCATTCTTAAGTGATCAAGACGCAGATGTTGTGGATGTATGGACTTCGTCATCGTGTGATGTGGCTAACCCTGTTGCCGGTGGTCTGCCCAAAATGTATGTTGGTTCACCTAAGCTGTTTACTTTTCAGATATTTTTAGACTTGGGTATGCCTCTCCAAATCTTCGAATCGATCTAAGCTTCAGCTGAGCTAGTTGGCCACTGCAAGAGTCGCGTGAATTTCCCGGTGTATATATGCACCCCTTAGCCTTCTCAAGTCTTTTCGGCCTCTCCCGCGTTAGGATTGATGCTGATCAGCCTACACTTCACATTGCAAAGCTCATCTTTGCTAATTTTCGTTTCGGGGTGGGCCATGGGCAGCTGCCCGGCTTTAATCTCGACTTATTAAGCATGTTTCTGAAATAACGCAATTCGGTTCAACACCACTGGTCCTTCAGATATTAGTTGAATGGATATTTAGATGAAAATACAAGAATTGTCATCAATGATTTGAGGGGACGTCCTCGAGAGCCTCGGCAGATGCACCAGCATCGAGTGTGTCGATATTTGGGGAAGTAGTTATGTTGGTTTTTTTATGGCCTCAGAGCGATTACGAGATTGAGCATTCAATAATGTTCAATAAGTTACCGCAACCAACAAGTTCACACAACACGCAAATATAACATGTCTGCGATGCAACTTCAAGTAGATACCTGATAAGTTTGCGGTCACCATTGCTTTGTTTTGTGCGGTGTCATATTGATTTTCTAAGAGCACACTTTGCAAGAGCATTTCGTTTTTGTGACAGTCGGCACTGGATCTGTCTGGTGGTGCACAATTACCCCAGAAACTGGAAACAGTCACTGAAGTACATTGCACCTATGCGCGACTTGGATTGGAATGAATATTGTCATATTGGCATAAAACTAGGGAAGTAGTCTACAAGAAGTTTTCATAATACAAATGAAGATGAGGAAAGAATGTCATCTCGACTAATTCAGACATCAGGCTCCGAGTCCGAGTCTGAGTCTGAGTCCGAGTCCGAGGCAGGTGGCAGTTCAATTTCAACGCGGCAAATAGGGCAGTTCAAGTTGTCTTCTACCCAGGGCTAAAGCGGGCATGGATCGAACTCAGCTATCAAGCATGAACGTGGAGTTTAGTAAAAGAAAAAGGTGGCTTACTTGAACGCAGTCACGGTGGAAAAGATGGGTGGGATGGCATGGGAGCTGAACAATGGTGTGTTCGGGTTGGGCGAGCTGATCCTTGCAAATTGAGCATTGCGAAGCGACCCCGTCGGGGCTCGATAACAAAGTGGCAGCGGTTGCGTTGGAGACAGTAAGAGTGTCCAATAGTAGTTGAACTCGAAGTCGGTGCCGTTCAACTCGAAGTCGGCTTGCGAAGGAAGCAGTACGAGAATCATCCAGAGCTTCGATCAAAGCCGTCCATTGATTCACCACATCTTGCAAGCGCCGATGAACTGATTCTTCTAAACGGGACCATGCTTCCTCGAGCCCGAACACATCGCCGAAGTAGTAGAGAAACTCGTCAGCATCAAAGCCGTCCCGGAGAGGGTGAGTATCTAATTCGGAGTGAGCCTCTGCCAGCAATCGAAAGCAGCGTTGGAAGATTGGTCGCTCTTCAGGCGTGAGGTACGACAAAGCCTCTTCGGCTCTTTCAGCCGTCGCTTGTGCCATCTTTGATATTCACCAAACTAAGGGTTTTTTTTTTCAAGTAGCTGTTAGGGTCTGGGAGGAGATTAAAAGGGATGGGATGGGATGGGGGCGATAGATGGACACTGGATGGGGGGAAATATCGACCACGGCTGGAAAAGGTCGTCTTTTAAACCATTCATAGATGCGGAGCCTTACATTAGCAGCACTTGCAGCAGGCCTCCGCGGGGGTGAAGCGCTCTAGTGTATCTTAGTCTTGCATCCTTTGTGTTGGATGATGTAGAGTTGGCTCATTTTGCCTTTCATTCAAGCTGAGTCCCCGATCGCGGCGACTTCTGTAGGAAGCTCAGCTTGGCCTGATACGTGATCCAAATTCAAATGAGCCACACAAGCAAAAACCAGTACATGTATGATAATTAGCTTCTTGGACTTGTGCCACTTGCTCTGAAACTTGCTGTTTGCAAACGTCCACTTTCAACAAAAATCCGTGTTCACCTGACTTATATTAGGCGAGTATTATAGCTTTCGCTGAGGAGGGGGGATGTGCCGTCCCGCAGGGACCCTCCCTCCCTCCGGTCGGCGCAATGCGACCAGTGTCTCACCACTCCGTCATGTAGGAGGAAGGGGCTTTTTTAAGTTAGGATTGTCTCAGTGTTTAACACTCAATGTAGCGGGAAAAACCCCGTCAGCAAAGCGATTTACCGGAGCGCACGAAATCGCCGGTGTGAGGCACTTGCTCTGCAAGACATCATCGGGGAGTCGCGACCAAGAAACTGGGCAAAGTTGGAGCTTTTTCCATTCTGATTCTGGGTTCGGGTGGCTCCTGTTTTTTTTGGGATCTACCTTTTTCACTAACACCGGGGAAGCTAGAGTCCCCTAAGGTTGAGCGACAGCAGGGGAAAACAAAAATGTTGTGCGATTCGTTGAGTCTGAGATTGTAGATCCTCTCACATGAAGTCGTCGATATTCTGATCATAGAGGTACAATTGGCGTTGGCTTTCACGTTGTTTGAAGGGTGGGTCACGTTTTGTGGTATGACTTTGTAACCCTGCCGGTCACTTTGACTTGACGCGAACGCGTCGTTTATTTCCAACTTGTACAATTATTCGCGTCTGCACTCCACCTATTACTCATGTTACTCCGGCCGGACATTTTGTCTGAAGTGGTGGTCAAGCTTATCTTATTTCAAAAACAAGTTTATTGCGGCCAAGAAGACCGGCAGCAGCCCAAGGCCCACTCTGGAAAAACTCCCAGTTTGTGGAGCCGAGCAGTGTAATATTTCAGCTCACCCGCGTCAATTGTAAAAGGGTGATGGAGAATCCACTCCTCCGTTGGAAGGATCCGACCAGATGTCGGGTCAGATGACCGGGGCGCTCCCTGGTTTACAGCCCAATACTGTGTCAGTGTCAGTGCTTGGCCGAAAAAAGGCTGAGCTGGACAAAGAGAAAAGGCGGTCGGATCGGGGAGATCTATGGGCGACTGGAATTTACGACTCAATCAGTCAGTCCAAAATCACAACACTTTGTGAACCCGCCATCCCATGATTTCTCGGAGCCAATATTCTCTTAACGGCCGGCCGCCGATGCCAGCCTTCTTGTTCCTCCCATTCACTTTCAGGTCGGTCTGGTGCAGAGGGCTTGCCAGGCCAGGGCATCGCCAGCTCGATAGACCAATCAGGCCGTCCTCCTCCTGCTGCTGCTGCAGTCCAAGGTCCAGCCGCAAGAAAGATGCTTCGTGGGGCCACTGGAAATGCTATAAATACTGGGCGTATGAAGCAGTACTTGGGTTCTCCATCCACTCTCACCACCACTACATCCTTCCTCACAGCTTTCCAAACCTCACCACCCTTTTAAAATCTATTCCTCACCCTCCTCCTCGGACATCCAATAGTTCGAACAACAAGAAGCCCAACAAGCCTCCCTCCCTTTTCCAAAACCAAGCACATCTAAGAACAATGCGTTTCACCCTTGTTGCCGGAGCGCTTGTCCTGAGTGGTAAGCAAAAAGCCAACTGTGTGACTCTTATTGGTTCTATTCACGGCAACTGACCCAGATGGATTTGATTCTTCCAGCTTCCATCTCAGAAGCGCGCTCTATCGCTCCCAGTCCATCGAAGAATCCTCGTACAACCTCGGTCAGATTAGAAGCTCTCAACGTGCGCATTGGGACGCCTCTCCGTATTTCCAAGAGGGCATCCGTCCAAGGAGGCGAGTGGAACACAAGCGCAACACAACAAGACACCCTTCCAGAAGTAGATGCGGCCGACTCCACATCCACCACGCCCGCAGCTCATCATGACCCTCCCACCGAAGCTCATGAGCCGCCCAAGAGATCTCATCCCAAGCCCACCAGTGACGGCTCGCGGGTTCACGAATATTCTCAGCATGAATCAAGACGACGACGATCACCTTCGGGTGTCTTCAGGACTACAATCCCTTCGGTCCCAGCAGCAGTCCGGGAGCCACTTGCCTCGACGGTGGATGGCAACCTTCCGCAAGCATCACCCTTGTTGGAAAACATGCAATTTACGATCAAGCCGGTCGACGCTGCAACCAAGCTATCTAACCAACCCGAAGAAGCGCCAGCCTCGCCTATCTACACCATCACCCCGATCACCTCCGGCATAACAACCACCATCGCCCAGAAAGTTAAGCCAAGCTCAGCTGCAATCAACACGGTTGACCGCGTCAAAGCAAGCGGAGAACCTACCACGGCTCTTCTCCAAGCCATTGAGCACTACCGAGAGGATGTGACACAAGAAAGCCCAGCTGGCGCTGACACCCTCAACCACCTCCCCATTCCACAAGTCGACAGAACCGTCGAATCTTTCGCCCACGGTGTATCGAGAACGTCTGCAAATCTTTCTCCTCTGCAGGATAACACCCCGACAATCGGCCCTCTGGGATCCACTTCCATCAGCGACACCGACGCAGCCGGCCTATCAAACCAATAATCTTCTTCTATTCCATATCTCTCTGCTGCTTGCTTCCCCGTTTCATTTTCGTCCACACCTAATACGTCATTGTTCACACACCTTTAATAATCTTTTCACTACTTTTCTGTTGGATTGGACTCAAATAATAATGTAATTGAAAAAGAAAATCAACTAATGCTTGTGTTGGCCTAAAAAAAGTTGAATCAAAATGGAAAATCATTCAAATCTACCACAAACATTATCCCTTGTGGAGGAAAAGCTACCAGTTCACAGATCCTTGGCATTCTAAGTCATGTTGAGCTGATCACCTGGTGTCTGGTAGTGGGAAAACATGTCTAAATTGCCTTTGAGAGGCTCCTTACACAGTGACAAACTTGGCTGGATAAATTAGTTGGCTCTGATGGACTAGCAACTGTCAGTTTCATTACACCCAGAACCGGTTCCTATTCAAAATAGATCTGGAATCCTTCCACTACCATATCAGGGGGAGGTATAGGGAACTTAGACCAATCCGGCATGTTGATGGTTGGTTGGGTTCCGAGCGAGGAGCCGGGTTGAGACTGAGGGTTCATCAGTTGTTTTGAGGGACGGGTTCCGGGAAGAGTGAGTTCTAGAAGGTGCGTCTCTTGAAGGCCCACGGGGCGTGTTTGGGATTGTGTTGATGGGATGAACGGCATGGAGAGCTTCCCGGATGGCTCTGATGAGTTGAGGTAGGCCGACGGTATTGAGGGCGAGGGTGGGATGGGCGATGTAATAATGATCGGGGTCGAGCCATCTATCGAAGCCGGCCTGAGCGGGGTCTATTCTGACGGTCTCTTCCTGCGTCTCCCCTTCAGTCATCCTTCGTTCGGCAAAGTTCTTCTTCGGATCAGCAGCAGCAGCAGCTGATGTACTTGGCTTCTTCGTCTCAGTCGAGGCAGATGATGATGAAGAGGCGGCGCCGTATTGGACAAGCAACTTGAGCGCGGCAATCCCTCGTTTCCGGATCGATTTGCGAATGAGGGCTCATTTATGGAGCTCCTTGATTGTTAGCTTGGGTCTGGTTGGGCGATGGATGAACTGGTACTTGGTCGTTGTAGAGTATGATGATCGAGTCAAGCGAGTGACGAAGCTGCTCATCCTGTGAATTTCGAAAGAAGGCTGTCTTACAAGGCTGTGGAATCTATGTAAGAGACCAAGTATTCAACTTGTTGATGAGGATTGTCTACTGCTGATTGCTGGTTGGGATTCGAGTTGTTGAATCGGGCTTGAATTTTGAAGCAAGCCGGCTTCTTCAGGCTTCCTACTCCAGGAACCTTCCGATGCTACAGTGCTCTCCAACAATGAAGCCTGGGTTTAAAGAAACCACCGAGGACGGTAAGTATGTGGGAAGAGACATTCGGAGGGCGCACTGATCAGAAACCTGCAAGGTGAGTCGGTCTATCCACTTGAGCGTTCATTGCATGTTGAACATTCACTGAGCTGTTTTTTCTTTTCTTTGTTTCATGACCAAGGTCCCGAATGTCTTGCACTTGATCTCACCTTTCCTGGATATTCACACGTCTTTGGAATTCCTGAACATGTCCTCATCACCTCTGTCACTGACGACGACCCGCAGTTCTCCCGGGAGTGCGCCCGCGGAGGCCTATACGGACCCGTACCG